GAAAGGGACGAGCATCACAAGCAGAAGCTTTACCAACCGACTGTCTCTCTTCTCCGGTTACCCTTGGGAGACGTGCAAGGCGCAGAGACCAAGGTCATGCAGCAAGTTGAGGGTAAAGCCAGATGCACGATGCTGCTTCTCAGTGCGCTGGCCCCTCCGTCCTAATCCAAGGGCCTAATGTGCCCAGGTAACCTATCACCTCATAGATGCTGGAGGGACCCGGAGTATAGACTTGGGGCGGAAGGTGGGACAAGAGGTTGGAACACTGGGTTTCCATGGCCCTGGAGCATTTTCTCTAGGAGTGTTTTGAGGCAGAGGCCCTGGTCTCTATTCCAAGGCAACGGGGGCTGCTGTGAGGTTACAGCGGGAGATCACAGGCCCGCAGGTGAGCATGCTGGGGAGACAACATCCCTGAACTGAGATTGTCAGAGACTGGGTAGTGCTGGCACTGCCATTCCTTGGGGAGCGAGGGTAGGCGTGGTGGCGAGATTTACAGGACATCCCAAAGCAGCTGCTGAATCCCCCACTATAGCCCTGCCAAGGCTCGGACGCTCACCTTGACACTCTTTGGGGCTGAAACAAAAATCCCCAGGTAGTTAAGTGGAAATTTTCACAGCACAACACATTGACCATTGTCACTTTCGGACTGGGCAGTGATGTGAGGAATCAGACGGAAGGTGAAAGGGGAAAGTATCCAACGATGGGACTCGAGGGTCCCGCGGTGGGGAATCGACTCACCAACCATCACAATAGCCCCTCACATTTGTAAAGCATTTTTCTGCCACGTGTATTTACTGCAGGGGGTACGGGTTCAATCCCTGGTTGGAGAACTAAGATCCCGCATGCCGTGCACATGGCCAAGAAAAATAAAAATAAAATTAGAAAATTTTCTAAAATTTTTAGAAAAATAAAAATAAAATTAGAATTAAAAAAAGGATTATGGGGCACAGGGAAATTATCCTACATCTCAAGGGTCTGGGTATCCATACATATAACAAGAGTTTGGGGCAATGACCTCTCTCTTGTTCTCCTACTCTGCCTACTCCTCAGAACCCTGTAAGGAGTGAAGAATGACCAAAGAAAGGCCTAAGACCTCCCCAGATGGTCACTTTTCCAAAGTATACATTTCTGGACAGCAGGCTTCAGCCAGAGCTTTGCAGACTCCCTCGCTGTAGGCTCAGCGTTCTCTGTCCCCAGGCAAGTTGGCATCCCCTCGTGTGCGGACTTCACACTCAGAACCCACTTGGGTCCGGCCAGGCCGGCTCGTCTTTCTCCTCCACCCTCCAGACCATACAAAGGGCCTGAACAAAGGGCCTTTGTTCAGAAAGTGTCAAACCTCTTCCTGGGTCACACCTTTCCCCGCTTCCCACTCGTTCCTGGCTTCCGGCCTCAGAGCCCACCCTGTCCACACGGATAGGTGGTCAGCATTGTGGGCGGCCGGGCCCTCCCTGGGTCAGGAAGGAAGGATGCACCCACCTCTGGGCGTTTGATGGTGACTCGCCCAAAGGTGTCTACTCCCCCGCACCGGACACAGGAGGGACAAAAGCCCTTCCGTGATGGGGACTGAGCTCCAAACCTCAAACCAGAGGTCCCGTCTCCCTCTGCAGCCAGCAGGCTCTTTCCAAATCCCCCACCCTGATTCTCCGACAGCCACAGTAAATGTCTTTCCATTTCTTGAGAGCACCAAAGTCTTGTGTGTGGATTTTCCTCCTGTGGAAGCTTCTTCCCCTGGTTACCTCCTGGCCATTCCACCCTTCAGCTTCCCTCTGACCGCCTACGGGCTCCCCTAGCATCTGACGTATCTTTTTCAAGAAACTTCTCCCTTAACATGGTGATTTCCAGTTTATCTGACTGCATCCTTCCAAAGATTATAAGTTCCTCGAGGGCCACGTTTCTCGTCTTGTTCAAGGTGATATCCTCAGTGCTTTGATTCATGGTAGGTACTTGATATATCTGTGTTGAGATCAAAAGAGATGAAAACTGTAATATACAAACAATAAGAATTATTATTCTAAGAAGATGGGGCTAAGGTGGAGGTATACATGTAGCTAGTTATTCTCTGAAATTTTCTTTACCAGCCGTTGGCCTAGGTCAGCAGCAGACACTGCAAATAGTGTTATTTAGCTCCCATTCAGTGGATGAAAACACTACGGTTGAAAAAAACCCCGAATCTCTCAAATGATAAAATTAAAACAGGAAGTAAATGGAGTGTAACCCTTAAAAAATTGTATTAAAAATATATGGAGAGAAAGATATATATCATATGATATCGCTTATATGTGGAATCTTAAAAAAATGATACAAATAAACTTATTTACAAAACAGAAATAGACTCACAGACTTAGAGAACGAACTTATAGTTACCGGGATGGAAGGGTGGGGGGGAGGGATAGATTGGGAGTTTGGGATGGACATGTTCACACTCCTATATTTAAAATAGATAACTAAAAAAGACCTACTGAAAAAAAAAAAAAAAGACTACATGATAAAAAAATATATATATGTGGAGGGATAAACAAATTAAGAAGAAGCAGCAGCAGCCTTGGCGAAAAAAAGAAATTACTCCTCAAAAGGAGATTTAAAGAATTTTTTAGAAGAATTTAAGCAACTTTACAGAATAAAAGAAACTAGTGGAAAAAAAAATTAGAACAGGCAGGGTCAACACAGGAGTCTGACCCAACGCCCTTTGCACAGTAACACAAAGAACTTTGAAGCCAATAAAATAAAATAAAGCACCAGAGACTTCACAGTTTAGGAGCCAGAGCTATGAATACATCTTTCCCTGGTTGATCTAGTAAATAACCTTTCAGGAGGGTTCCTGAGAGTTTGGGTTTCTAAGGGTCCTGATCAGCCCTTCAGGAAGATTTAGGACGATGGCCCGCACGCTTCAATGGAGAAACAGGGTAGGTTTCCTTTTAGGCACAATTCCCAGTTCATGCCACCAAGAAATGGCGTTTGTTTTTTTAAACCTATTACCTTTCTAGGGGTGAAGAACTCCACCTGTAGGAACCCTCGTTTCTAGATGTAGAGAACCTAGCACAACATCTAAGCTCCGTGGATCACGTGGGAGCCTAAATTCTGGAAAATGGGGACAAAGCTGGGAGGCCTTGTCTGTTTGGGTGGCTGTCTGGCGCCCCCTTGTGTTCAGTGTCTGGACCCAAAAGAGCCGAAAAGCGGCACGGATGGAGTGAGCGTCAAACGGCTGAGCTATTTTCCACCGACAGCCTGTGGCCAGTGAGAAGCCAGAGGAGCGGGCTCAGGAGTGGATGCAGGCCCCTCCGCTGACCATCTGGGATGTGTTCCCAGCCCTGGTGGAAGCACACTTGCTAGGACAAGCTGCCTAGAACGGGACAGGTGGAAGCAGTGCCCAAGGTCACCCAATTGTCTCCACCAGGGAGATGGATCGTTGTGTCCCTCCTGCTGGGTGTTTGGCCAGCGGGCTTTTCCTCTGGACTTAGTGCCCAGGCCAGAGGCGCTTATAGACTCTTTTTAAAAAAAAGCAACAAAAAAACAGATATTTACTGCTCTGCTGAAAACAGCTTGGGCCCCTGAGGAGACATTGCAGGGGCAGTTTTGAATGTGCTACGTCAGTGGGCCGTAATGGGCACAGTGTGCCTAGCAGAGGTACATCCCACCCTCGGCCGTAAATAGCCCTTAATGGGCTGACGCAGAAAGCCTGGCATTGGCTCTTCCTCCTGCCCTGCCCGCTCCCCCTGACTCCCACCCCCGGGGCTCTGCCATCCCAGATCACCAAATCATGCCCCTAGTGTGAAAAGACGCCCTCGGCTCCCGGGCAGTGGCACCTCCAGTGTGGAACTGCATGGCTGGTACCAAGCTTCCGGGGTCAGTTCTGGCCATAGAGTGGGGCTCACCCAGCAGCTCCGATGGGAGCCTTAATCCCTGATTAGATCCTGGCTCTCCCTCATATAAGCTGAGTCACATCAATTGTCACTGAAAACCTCTAAGCCCCAGTCTCCTCATTGGCAAAAGGAAGATCTCAGGCCTGAAGTTAGGGATTTTAGAGAGTTAAGTACGTTGATAAATCGAACAGACACCTTCTTGCCTCTAAGCCTTTGCACATGCTGTTCCCACTGCCTGGAACAGTTTTCCTCCTCATGTCCTTCTCTAGTTTGACATCTCTTTATCTTCAGTCTCCACTTAGACTTCTTCAGAAACCCATCTGTGGTCCCCTGAGCCTGGGCTTGGTCCCCTCCAGGGGTTCTCATAACCCCCTGCATGTCCCCGGTCCCAGCAGTGACCATGTGGTATGGTCATTGGCCGGTCTAGATCCTCACTTGAACCCTATGAGCCCAGAGCAGGGATCACATCTGCATTATTCACCTCGACATCTGCAGGGCCTGGTGCAGCGTTTGGCACGTAGTACGCACTCAATAAATATGTGTTGAATAGGTGGATGGGCTCAGAATGAAACACAGGCTGGGGCCAGAGGGTAGAGGCCAAGTCAGGAAGGCAGCTAACGAGACAGGCGCACATCACAGCATGTCCACGTTCTGCACCACTGCCCACAGTCCGACATGTCAGTCCTGGAAGCCCTGGAACGTGGGCCAGTGAGGTCTCTGCCTTTGCCCTTTCAGTGCCCCTAGCAGTGCTCGGGCCATTCAGGCCGGGAACCCGCGGACAGGGCCCACTCTGTCCAAGCTCAATCAGAGAAGCTCTCCTTTTATTGTTTTGTGTCTGTGATTCTCAACGTGATTGTGCTTTTAAAAACCCGGCCCTATGGTTCAAAAGAAGAATGAGAATGAGAAACTTAAACACCACCGATTTCATCCTACACCCTCATTTTATAGATGAGGAACAGAGACGCAGAGAGGATGGGGGGATTCTCCCCAAGGTCACACAGCTCAGTATCAGAGTAGGAAGACCCTGAATCCTCAACTCTTCAGATACTTTCTAGAGGGAGGGAGGGAGGTGTTGGGGTTATTTGGAGTGAGGTGCTGAGGGTCTGAGAGGAGACCCCCCCCAAAGGTCCCCAAAGTGGGATGTCCCCACTCTGGCATCATACATGCCCCTCACCCCGCCAACCCGAGCTAGCCCTCCTCAGAGGTGGGAAGCAGGACGGGGTGCAGCGGGAACACCAGAGGGGGTGCCCAACGGTGGGAGTTCAAGTTCAGGGGCTCTCAACATCCAATGTCCACACGCAGGCTGATTCTCTGCCCGGTGGCCCTGACAACCGTCCCCCGGACTATTGTGTTTCAGGCCACGGAGGGCTGAACCAGCTGGGAGGGGCCTTTGTGAATGGCAGACCCCTGCCTGAAGTGGTGCGCCAGCGCATCGTGGACCTGGCCCACCAGGGCGTGAGGCCCTGCGACATCTCCCGCCAGCTCCGGGTCAGCCATGGCTGTGTCAGCAAGATCCTTGGCAGGTAAGCACGAAATTCACCCCTCACCGCCCTCCCTTTCAGGGACTCGTGGGGTGTCCTGCTTGGGCCCCTCAACGGGACCTCAACAGGATGTGGTCGTGCTTCTGGCTTCCCCCATCTGCTGCCTTCTGTGGTTTCCTGCCCTTCCTTCCTCATTTGTCCATTTCTCCTTCCTTTCATTTCTCCCTCCCCCGTGGTCTCCTTTGCCCCATGTCCCATTTTCTATAGACTTCTTTGTTCCTAAAGCAGCATCTTCTCCAAAGGCCCTCCCGCTGCTGAGACCAAGGGAAGGGAGCCACTGGGGAGGGGACACACGATCAGAGGTCTAACCCCAGCTTGAGGGACGTCTGAGTTTGTGTGTTTCTCAAACCGTAACTCCCAGAGTACCTGCCACAGAAGCACCGGCGTTGCTTGAGGAAATGCAGGTCCCTAAGCCCCAGGCCAGGCCTACAGCAGCCTCTCTGGGAGCCAGGCCCGGACGCTGCGATTTTTACGAGATGACCAGGTGACACTTACGGACACTAACTCTAGAGCAGCAGTTCACAGCCCTGGCCGCACGGTAGTCACCTGGGGAATCTTAATCTGAAAAAGAAATTGATGTCTAGGCCCCGGCCCACCCCAGTTAAGGCAGAACTTCAGGGAATGAGTCCAAGTTTCAGTATAGTGTTAAGCCCTCCTCGAGTGATTCTAATTTCCTGCAACCAGAGTTAAGAACTGCTAACCTTGGGCTTCCCTGGTGGCTCAGCGGTTGAGAGTCCGCCTGCTGATGCAGGGGACACAGGTTCGTGCCCCGGTCCGGGAGGATGCCACATGCCGCGGAGCGGCTGGGCCCGTGAGCCATGGCCGCTGAGCCTGCGCGTCCGGAGCCTGTGCTCCGCAACGGGAGAGGCCACGACAGTGAGAGGCCCGCGTACCGCAAAAAAAAGAAAAGAAAAGAAAAGAAAAGAAAAGAACTGCCAACCCAAAGGTTCAGGAGGGACCCGAAGCAGCGAAGCTCTGGACCGACGCAGCTGCGTAGTCCAGTCTAGAGGCCACTTCGGGTGGGAAGTACCCACACATGGGGGAGTCGGGGCTTCGCGTCAGCTCGGTGTACCCGTCTCCCTTACCCAACCTGTAAGTGGATTCAGGAGGAGTTCTGGTTCAAAAAGACCAAAGCCTGATCTGTAATTGAACGTGGAAAGCCCTGCTTTCCTGGCCGAAGTTGTCAGGGAAAAGCGTGGTCCCAGGCTGGGGTCAGGAGATGCGTTCCCAAGATGGGCTGCAGTATCTCACGAAGGGGATGAGCGCCGGAGGGTGGTGACACATGAAGGGAGTTTTTTGTTTTGTTTTGTTTTTAAAGAAGATGTTGGGAGTAGGAGTTTATTAATTAATTTATTTATTTTTTGCTGTGTTGCGTCTTCGTTTCTGTGCGAGGGCTTTCTCTAGTGGGGGCGAGCAGGGGCCACTCTTCATCGTGGTGCGCGGGCCTCTCACCATCACAGCCTCTCTTGTTGCGGAGCACAGGCTCCAGACGCGCAGGCTCAGTAGTTGTGGCTCATGAGCCTAGTTGCTCCGCGGCATGTGGGATCCTCCCAGACCAGGGCTCGAACCCGTGTCCCCTGCGTTAGCAAGCAGATTCTCAACCACTGTGCCCCCAGGGAAGCCCATAAAGGGAGTGTTAAAGAGACAGATTTTATTTCATGGCAGAAGAGACCAGAGTTTCCCCAAGGAGGGGAGGCAGGCTATCCTGCTGAGGGATGCGGGGAAGGGGAGTGGAGACCCTGGGAGAATAGGCTCAGCTTAAGGGAGCTGGACGTGGCCAGGGCTCCAGGCCAGACTGGGGTTCCAGAGTCCATGAGGAGCAGCTTCAACTTGAACTGTGTAACCTGGTGGGAAACCAGTGGCTGGGGGTATGGGGTGGGGTGGAGGGGTTTTATGGAGAACAAAGGTGAAACCAGCAAGACAGGGCAGAGGGCCCAATGACCCCGCTGGCTTCCTGGGGAGGGAGGGGTACAACCAGGATGGCCAAGGAGAACAGTAAGTCCTGCTTCGGCCGAGAACAGCTGGACGGAGCAAACGGCCGCTGTGAACCTGTATGTACCCGCAGAGCACATTCTTCAAAGTGCTCTTTCTAAGAAGGGAGGTGTTTTGTGCCCCATAAGGCGGCTCTCGCAGGTGCTCAGACACAGGAGACTGGCCAGAGGGACGACGGGAAAGACAGAAGCCAGGTATCCCTGGGCGAGGTCTATCGAAGAGAGTTCTGGTTTGGCAGCGGCAGAAACCTGCCCATGCAAGGGAAACAGGCAGTGCCGGGAACAGCGTGTTGGAGGCCGGCCCTGGGGGCACGATTCAACCCCCCGGCCCCTCCCCAGAAGCCTCGGAGGGGAACGAGAGTCTCTGGCTAAGATCCTGCCCGAAGACCCCACCTGCTTACTGGGTACTTCTTTGGGGTTCTCTATTGGAGTAGGTACTACGAGACTGGCAGCATCCGACCTGGAGTGATAGGGGGCTCGAAGCCCAAGGTGGCCACCCCCAAGGTGGTGGAGAAGATCGGGGACTACAAACGGCAGAACCCGACCATGTTTGCCTGGGAGATCCGAGACCGGCTCCTGGCCGAGGGCGTCTGTGACAACGACACTGTGCCCAGTGTCAGCTCCATCAACAGGTGAGAGGAACACTGCAGCCAGGGGCCGGGGAACCCGGGCTTTGGGGGAATCATGACGGAGACCTGGCTTGAGTGGAACGGAGCCTGGGAAGGGGCCGCGTGCTGAAGAGTCAGGCCGGAAGTGCCCCGGGCCCAGGCCAGGCACCAGCCCCTCCAGCCTCCTCACTGCCGTGGGGCATCCCCACCCTCACCCCTCTCCTCACCGCACCGCCCTCTCACCCCGTCCCCAACCCAGACTGTACCCACTGCAGTCTCCTTCCCCACACACCACATGCGCTTTCATTCAATAAAAGAAACTTCCTCTTGCATTGATCCTTTCTTGAGCGAGGCACAAGACCCCCTAACTGGGCCCTCATCCAAACACCCACTCATGTGTTTAGTCATTCAATCATTCACTCACCACCTCAATCAATCATTCACTTGCTCACTCACTCATTCATTCACACATAAGTCACTCATGTGTAGGCCCTGGGGACGCACAATCCTTGCCCATGTGGTGCTTACAGTCCAGTGGGAAAACACACTAATCGAGTCCTAATCAAGTGCCCATGCAAACAACTGTAAGAAAAGCAACTCTAAGTTTGGCTAAGGAGAGAAATGTGAGGGTGTTGAGCTGGCAGAGGGTGACTTTGTTTAGGGAGGTTCTGAAAAGATGCCTAGAGTAAGAAATAACTAATAAGAGTTAACTAGATGAAAGGCTGGGGGGGGGGGATGGTGAAAGGAGCTCTGAGACAGCACGTGCAAAGGCCCTGTGGCGAATAGGATCTCATACAAGAAGCTGAAAGAAAGCCAGTAGGTGGAGGGAAGGGGAGCATGAAGTCGGCTGAGGTGCAGATGTGAAGAAAAGGCTGCAGTTCAGAGGCTGGTGACCGTGCTGCGTATTCTTGCCTCTGACCCAGAAGCAATGGGAAGAATCTTGGCAGATGTTAAGCCCGAGGCTGACTTGCATTTCAGAAAGTCCACTCTGGCTGCAATAGAAAGAAAAGATTAGAAAGGGTCAAGAGCAGAGAGGGGTGGGCCAGCGAGTGACCCTGGAGGGAGAGTTTGGTGCTGGCAGTGAGGGACGCAGAGAGGGATGGATGCTGGAGAGATTTACAAGGTCAAACCCACAGAACGTGATGACGGGCTCGATGGAGGAGGGAGGGAGGCAGACGCTGAGCCCCACGTGCATTTATGCCTTGAGTGACCAGGGGGACTAATCGTGAAATGGGAACAGTGCGAAGGACCAGGCATGAGGAGTAAGGTCTTGGGTTTGAGTGTGGACAGGCTGACTTTGAGGTGCCTTTTTTTTTTTTTTTTTTTTTTTTT